ACCTATAGGTATAGACAGACACATCCTCAGATAGATACATCCTCTGACAGACACTGACATACCTACAGATGGACACATATATTTGGACACATGCATATACAGACACATACAAATTTAGACAAACAAATACACAAATAAAGACAAAGACACACATGTGTATGCCCTACCTATTAATTCTATGTTGGTCACAACTACTCAGTGAAACTCATTGCTCTCAGTGTTAGAAATGGTAGTAGTAGTCAGAAATCAGGATGTATGAATTAGGTCAGGTGTAACCCTTTACCATTTGCATTCTCCATACCATGGTATGAGAAATACCAGCCTCTAGGATTGCTCCTGGAAGCCAGTGACCTCTGTGATCATGCAGAGCAGAACTCCAGCTTTGTTTCAGGAGCAGCACAGAGAAACTAAGGGCCAGAGCAATGAGACAAACACCTGGAGAGTGAGCGGTTGCCCTACCCCCAGCTTCTGTCTATGCAAATCTTGTAACCACATTCCTTCTCTGACGGGGGGGGAGGGGGGGGGGGGGGGAGGGGAGAGAGGATGAGAGGAAGAATACACAGTAAAATGTGCTCTCAACGTTCTCAAGACACACGGACTTAGGTTACTGAATCGTAAATGTATTTGGATGGGCCTTATCTAATTATAGCTACATGGCTGTAACTTTCTTCTTTCAATGAGCGTGCCTATCCGAGTTTCCATCTTTGTATCTGCTCTAACAGATCTTTCTAAAACAACTTTCACCATCACCCATAAATACTTCCTTTGAAAGCTGATGATTATGTCCAGGGAGTATTAGTTTATGCATTTGCTATTTCTCATCTGGAGTTCTGTTCAAGGTATCATGTCATAGCATCGTGGTTTGTTTTGATGGGTGAGTGGGAACTTGGATTTCCTTTCTGAAGTGAGAGTAGATATCTAAGGGCAAGATAGATCTGATAGTAAGGAAGACAGGGAAAATACCCAATAACAGTTATAAATAGTAGCTTCCCCTTATCCATCATCTATCCTGTATCGGCCTCTGTGCCAGGAGTTTTACACCATTATCTTAATCCTCACAACAACCCTACAAGGCAGGGTAGCTATTTCCATGACGTGGATGAGGAAACTGGGGCTCTCCATACTTCTTGGATATATAGCATAGTTATTCATAGGTGGCTTCAGATGTACAAAATTCGATCCATGAATTTACATTCGCAGACTTTAATTATGGATTTTGGGAAATCACTCCTCAACTCAATCTGCCACCTTTTCCATAACTCTTTGTATTTACACTTTTTACCTGGACCAGATTTTACAAGTGTGTTGACTGAATGGGACTTTATTAAGCAATGCTCCTGTATTGTTTTCAGTGGAACAATAGGAATTAAGAATGTAGAGCTGGAATCAAGCTGCCTGGATCCCAATTCTGACTTTGCCACTTACCTGCTGTGTGACCTTGGGCAAAACAATAAACTTTTCTGTGCCTTAATGTACTGTTCTATAAAATGGGAGTAATTATAGCACCCAGCTTATGGATTTATGACAAGTCCATCTGGGCGAGATTCTCAGAACTGTGCTTGACATATAGTAAGCAAAATATTAAGGTCAGTTATTACTATTTTTATTTTCAGTCACAGTTTTGGTTCCTCATTTCTTTACAAGTTACTGGAATGTCCTGCTTCCAAATGTAAATGTGAAGAAGGAAAAAAATAACATATATTTTCATACATGTCTTAAGAGATGGAATGCTAAATTGAGAACATATCCCAAGCAGCACTTTCATCATCCAAGGACTAAAGAAAAAGTGTTCGTGGTCCTACAGGGCCCCTCAGTCTCAGAGAGCCAATCAGCTGGCTTGCCTGGCGGAGCCTGGGAGAGCAGTGAAAGCCACCGGAGTGGTCAGGGCCATTTCATTGCTTTTGTTCAGTGGGATGGAGGTTGACCAGCTAGTAGCCTATGGCAATAGGTTAGTCAAATGGAGACTTAACTCAGAGACCGACCATCATAATGTAACAAGAAAAATGAGCAAGGCATTTGAGTGGCAAGGTTGTGTGGGTGGGAAGCTTGTGAAGTAACTGGTGTTCTAACTTTATTGCACTATTATTTCAGTGAAGGGAAAGAGCTCTGGGACAAGCCAAGATAGAGCTCTGAAACAATACGTGCTTATTGTTCTTTTCTCTCTCTCTCTTTCTCTCTTTTTCTTTCCTTCCTCCTTCCCGCCCTCTCCCTCACCCTCTCTTTCTCTCTCCATCCTTCACTGCTTTGTCCCTCCTTTTCTCTTGTTCCTGTTTTTATCATGGGAAGTCTGCTCTCCTGCATTGGTGAAGGCCGCAGAAACGACCTTGGTAACCCATGCATTGTAGGCAGCTCCAAAAGCATAGGTTTCTATCTGCTGCAGGATTAAAGAGACATTCCTGTCAGCACCGAATTGTGAAAAACGTATGGCGGATAAATTGTCGGAACACATTAAATCAGTGTTATAACAAGCGTCGAATTGTGCAGAAAGTTTGGGCTAAAATGGCTAGACATAACAAAGGAAGTTTAAAAAAAAATGACAGGTCGAATGTAGTCTTCACTTCTTCATTAGCTTTGTTTTTGCGAATCTGCACTGACTTGTTAGAACTACCATTACGGTAATATGGGAATGGTATACAAAGAAAAACAGAGCATAATTATTCAGTGTGCTCAGAGATTTCTTAAACACCCCCGCCTTATGCTTCAGATAGAAGTCAGCAAATTCATCCCCAAACATTTTTACAGGAAAGGAGTAAATCAAACTAAACAAATTAAAAACCCAACAAAAGGAAAAATAAACACCTTTTAATGTTTGTTTCTGTTGCCACTTCCTCTATGGTGATGACCTCATCTCGAAAGCTTTTCATTGGTTAGAGAGTATTTTAAATGAATTAAGGAGAGTCAGGAGCAAAAAGATGCTGGGTAAATTCTTAACATCAGAAATAATTATTGTCCCACCTCCAAAGTCCTTCAGATCTTCAAATGCTCACAAGCTATGATTTCTTTCTTTCCCAGCGATCTCAGGAGCCTGTGATCTCACTTTTCTCAGAATCCTGCAGGATGTACTTATCATTTTAGTTACACTTAAATTGTAGACCTTTCATGTGTCACTTTTTTTGGTGAGTCTTTCTCAAAGTCTCATTTGAAATCTCATCTGTTCATGGAGATTTTAAACACCTTGAAGGATGGGTGGTACCTTATACTGATTTTTGTACTCCTGGCAATCACCTACATACAATGATCAGTCCTCAATGGGGTTTGATGCTTGAGTGGTGGTACATTTAGACCTTTTTTGTGTGGGTTTGAACTCAGGATGGAGTTCTTTTCTGGGGGCTGCATGGTTGCCACTTACTGGACTTTTCTGTTCTCCACAAAAGGAGGATGAGATGCTGAGTCTGATTCAACCCTCCTCTCTCCTAGTGGTGTGAGATGCTGGGTCCCCCGTTTGAGTCAAACTTCTCTCGTCCTAGTGATGTGATGTCTCCGTAGACAGCACTGTTTACAGTCGGAGCAATTCCCAGTTTGTTTTACTTGGGAGTCCAGGAGAAATTACGTTCTTGCCTATAAATTCTCGCTGGCTTTTACAACATTGCCTGGCTCACACCAGTGGCCTGGTCGGGGTGGGGATTGGCAAGTGTGAGCAGATGAAGACTAAGCTCCTTGGGCTCCTGTCTGACCTGCTTCCCACTCTCCTGCAGCCGAATCCGGGGAAATGAGACAGAGGCAGACATAGCTGGAGGGTTAAACCTTATTCTCACACTGAGGCTCTCTGGAGGTCTTCAAGTATTCTTTCTGTCTAGAGGGAAAGAAAAAAGCTAGAGAGGCAACTACAGCTTCTTTTTATCTCTTTTTGGAAACAGAATTAAGATACTACCCTTGACTTCAACCTATGCACACCATCCGGACAATTTTCCAGACTCTAGCTTTTAATTTTAAAGCCAATCTTTGAGTGGGAATGTTCAATCAAACACAGAGCTAACGAATAAGCAAACAGACAAGGTTGAATTTATCACTGAGTGTTCAGGTCATCTGCTAACCGTTCCAGGTATCTGATTCCAAAGCAAACATATCATCTAGCTATTAGGATCCCCTAGAGGCATTTAAGCTAAGTGAAAGGGCAAGCAAAGATCTGTGGTACCGATTGCCACTGCAGTCAAAGTCACTAAAATTTCTGGAGGTGGAAATTTCATTTTGTTACTTTCGCATTAAATTATTCATTATGGCTTTTCACTTGTGCAGTTTTATGGAAATGACAATTATTTAATTGGATATACAGATAAAACTAATAATTATAGTCATTACTCTTCTCTCCCTGATGGCTACTGGGTCTTTCCGGGCTATCCACCAGCCTCACTGATCCTATACAACCTTTTCCAGCACCCGTGGGCATGTGCAAGTCGGCCAACTGTGCCTCAATTTCTTTCTTCGTAATAAGGTGATATGAAGTCACTGATTTATTTAATATTATTATCTTTTTGGTGCAGAAAACAGAGTTTTATGATGATTAGTGGTAGTAGCAACTTATTCAGAAGAATACGCTGGGAAAAATATTTAGAATAGTAATTGCATGATGCGATAAAAGCTTGTTTATCTCCACCCCACTACTTCAACTTTAGGTGTACTTGGTGGAGACAGGGGATGGGAATAAACCTCCTCTATTACATTAGAGCAGCTTGTATTACACAGAGTTTGAATCAACTGGCCCAACTGAACTAACGCTTTTTTTCCCCCCACTTGTTTGTTTTTTAAACTAGTACATAGGCGGCCTGGATGACTTCATATTCTCTATAAAAACTCAGAGTTATTAACCATTGAGGTGTGTGGGGAAGTTGGGTGCAGTTTTCTCAATCAAAAGGTAAAACTAACGCAACTTTCATGTTACTATATTTATTGACATTTTGTGGCTTCAAATGAATATTATTTTCAGCACAGAAGAAGAGAAAGCACTATGTTTTTGTGACTGCACGAATCCATCTTACTCAAAGTAAATTACCAGCTTTTACCTTTAGAAGTTGTATTCTTGCATGTCTACCCGGATAGCTGCACAAAGACATAGTCTTCTTAGGTTCACATCTTTATGACATATTAAATTCACTGCATTGGGATGGATTCTAAGAAAATGCCAAGGAGCTCCTGGATAATTAGATACCGTTAGGTGTTGAATAATTTTTCTCTTTCATTTCACATTATTGAACAATTTTTTGACTGCTACGTTTGAAAATTTTGATCCTATCTACCTCCCTAAAGCTTTTGAGATAATTTTTAAAAATATTGCTGTATGTATGTTTGAGTATATTCAAATTGGACGCCAACTACTGGTTCTCTAAACCTATATACCAGACCTCAGAAGGTTTCTAAGGAAAGGGATCACCGTGTTTTGGGGGTGCTATGGTACAGATTCCTCTCTCTATTCTTCTTGGACATTTTGTTTTTCAATATGAAATCTATTGAAATTAAGCTGGGTTTCCCAAACTTGCCCAACATAAGCATCACCTGGGAAACCTTAAAAAATGCCTATGCTTAGGAGTTTTCTTTAGAGATTTTGATTCCATAGGTCTAAGGGCAGTGCTCAGGAATATATATTTTTAAAAAGCATCCTAGGAGGTTCTTAGGCTTAAGCAGGTTTGAAAACAGTGCTACTGAGTAAAGACCAGAGTCCTTATATCCTCAGAAATGAGATAGTCACACAGAATTTAGCTGATTAATTGAGTTAGCTTAAAATAATTTTTAAATAAAAAAATTAAACATTCTACACGTGTCATAAAATTGGGGAAAAAATTCTTTCCTTTTGATCTTTGCAAAACCATAAGTTCTTGGAAGGATATCCACTGACAGCATCAGGAACTATACAACCACACAACTGATTCTGCCTACAGTTACTATAGTCGAAACAGTCCCAGACTGGATGTTAAAATGACCAAATTCCCTCAGTCATTTGCCTCGCGGTCCAGACATCTTGGCAGAAACAGACTCAATGGTGATTTTAAGTTTTATTTGATACTATTATGCTTAGTTTATCATCAAAAGCATGGACACTGGGAGATTTGTTTGCATAATTTTTAATCCCTTGTGAAAATCTAGAATTACTACGGTGAAGAATAGAAATGGCTCTGCCTTCCTGGGTGACCTATACTGAGCTGCTGTTTCTCTCTCCTTAGCCCTCTATTGTGAAATCGTGGCCAAGCTTGTTTTTCCTGCCTAAGTTCACCACAGCCAAGCCCACGTGGAGAGATTAAACCGACTTCCTTAAAGCGCACAGAAAAAGTTGACTGGCTGTTTTCTTCTCAATTTTCACAATTTTATGAGTCTTTAATAAGCATTTTCTCAGAGCTTGTCAGTTTCTGCGTGTTTTAAAATCATTTTTACTAGCGACTTCCAAAACACACCCATGTTCGAAGTCTGTGCTCTCAGCCATGTTTTTGCAGGAGATGTGTAACCAAAGATGCAACGAGGAGAGACAGCATTTCACTTTTTTCCTGGCTCTAAACCACAGGGAGAAAACAGGAGGCCTTGCCTGTTTCTTCCTGTTTGGGGTTATATAAGTTGTCGAAGTAATGTGGTTCCAACATGCAGGTGCTTTAATGTCATTTTGTTTCCATACAGAAAGCCTCCTCAGAAATACGGTTTATGGTAAACCTGGGAAAGTAAATTCTCCAAGTCATAAGAAGGATTGCATGACTTCAAAAAACAAAATGAAACAACAACAAACTTTGCAAAACTGTTTAGAAATGACTATGGAATTCTAGTTGCTGAGAATAGATTGGGCACTGGGATTTTTGTGTGCAGGCACATGACAAATTAGTATAATGATATAATGATTTGTATACATCTTTTCTTTGCGTGGAGGGTGTTTAATTTACTGAAATGTAAGCTCGTGATTAAGATCTAAGACTTTTCATTAATAACTTTCTGATTCTTCAACCCACTTCTAGAAGCAATCCCTTACCTTTGGCCCGCTGGAGCTCTCGCAAAAACTAATTATCACAGTTCCAAATGAGTTCCGAATATGTCATTATTTAACCCTTCTCTAACTCAAAACATCCGCTAATCGCTTAATTGCATCATTTACTGGGCATTTGAAAAGTTGAGTTTAAAGACCTAATAACCCCCTTTGTACCTTTTTCTCTTTGACAACACTTCAGATACGTAACCGTAAGGAAATAAAGCTATTAAGGCCGAATTAATAAAGAATAGACTCATATGAAGTAGCTTCTCTTTTATAAGCTTTATAAGCTTATAAAAAGCATAGACTTTCTCCCCCCTCCAATCAATATTTAAATTAATCGGTTCCTTGCTCATTAAACAATGTTTTCAATAAGAAGCCATATTTTGACAAAGGGAGGGGAAGACTCAAGTTACATAAAGATTTGCTAAATTATTTTTATCATGCATATATATTTTTACTTTATTTTTATGTGTATGAGTTTTTAAAACAAAACTGTAGTGCTACTTTGTGACATTTAGAGTTGAATTTCTTTCTGCCCTCGTGGAACTGAACTTAAAGTTGTTCCTTCTGCTTTGCCTTTTCTGTATAAGGTTATAAAACACATAGTCCAGCAAATGGGAGACCAAGTCACTGAAAAATACCCAATACCTAGAATGAATGAAAACGGAAAATGTTTATTTATGCTTAATAACTTGTTAACTGAGGGAACTGATTTCCTTTATCAAGGCAAAAATAAAAATTCATATTTAGAAAAATGTACTTTCTCTGACTGCACAGATCAAAAGCAAGCAAGACATATATTTTTGAGAAATATCAAATTATGTGCCTGCATCCATATTCTTATATAAAGGTACAATATATGACAAAACAGGTTAAACAAACTTTTGAATTTTTCAGTGCTACTACACGTGCTGTCATGTAAATTAGTATATATTTATTTACTTCGTACTGATAATATTTTTACTTTACACATTGTAAAAACTGTTTTATATTTGCCTCAAGTTACGGATTTGAAATGATGCAATAAAAAGTCAATCTATATTTTAGTAATTACTCTCTTTTGAACGACTTTTGGGGGAATAGTGTAAGATAAGATCATTTCATCCAAAGAAACGTGAATAAAGTAAAATTTCTTACGTGAGGTTTGGTGAGACTTTTTAAAATTAAATAGGGACAGAATCCTTCTATGTTGACTTTTAGATCCAGGATACCGCACTGAGATGAATTTTTCTTTTTTGTCTGTTCCTCTTTTAATTAATACTGATCATCACCATTATTATTGAAAAATTGACGTTCCTAATACGTGACCTTTTACAGAACTTTCCTTGTACATCAGGGGATGGGCCTGAGTGCTGGTGACCTGTTCTATTGCGAAGACCTCTTCATGTCAGTGTGGCCTGGACTCTGACAGTTTTTGCCTCATGACTAGTGATTCAGGTCTGACTATTCTTCAATTTCTTCTGTGGCAGAACTTCGGAACTTACCTTTTAACAGTTAACATTGAAATAAGGACACTATTTCTTTCCATTCAATCGAACGGGGAAAAGAATGACAAAAAGGAAAATTGAATCAAACTACCTTGTAGAAATTGGATGATTTCACTGCAGCTGGGATTGACTTTCATAGGATCCTTCTAAGCTCTTCATTGTACGGTGAGGGGAAGGATTTTAGCTGCAAAGCAGTTATTTCTCCCAACATCGTGGGATCTAATAGTTTAATGCATCCTACGAGAAAGACAACGATAAAGATATAATTTGGCATCATTGTAGCCAACTTTACTACCCTTCCTAGTAGTAAACCTATTTATATTTTTCAGTATCTTTGAAACTCAGGTCCAGTCTGTGAGAGTCAATTCCTCAGGCAGATCTTTAGAATAAGCGATCATTTCCCAAGGCGAAAGGGTCGGACTTGGAGAACTAATTAACCTGTAGTCATAAGCCTGACGGAATGAATCCGAAATGCGAACCACGTCGTGGACAAGGACACAAAATGGAAAGTGTCACCGAGACCAATCTGGTAGCAGTGATTCAACGCATACATATCCACTCATCGCCCCGGACCAAAACACACCGAACCCTCCCAAAAATTCACTCTCAAGGCATGCACATGAAAACAAAGAGAAACCCAAGACTCACAGTTCATTTGAATTCACAAGGGAACATTTTCGGGATGAATGTTGCTTTGACGTTGCCTTATTGATGCAGAGGGAAGCCAAACCTGTTTTTAATTGCAAAGCCAAATGGTTTATGCATGGGCTCTGCCATGCTTGTGAGAACATGTCGCTTTTATAGCCCCCTCCCCCCTCCAGGAGCACGAGACGAGGCTTGCCGGCCCTGTGTTTGAGCAGGGTCACATTGAAAAGGAGAAGCCTTCAGGTGTTTTTCAAGGGGTTGGGGGGGGGGGAATGTCAATCTGTCAGAGATGTCACTATAAGTGGATGTATCTGCTTATCTGTTACCACTTGCTAATTACGGATTTGGGCGATAATTGTCATAAATCTTGCCACAAAATGCGCTATCAAATGCATTTTCCGGGAGTAGAGGGTGATGTGGGGAGAGGGATGGAGGTAGACTCTAAGTTCTTGGGATCAAGAGACCACAAAGCCTGGGCTGTAGAACTGTTTCATATTCCAGTGAATACGCATATTGTTGCATGTGTCAGGTCGCTCCAGGCAACATAGCTGGCATTCCATTATAGGAATGGTGAGTGTACACAGAACAGAGTCTGTCAAGAAGTTTCTCTTCATATGGCCAAAAAAGGCCTTCAGGAATACTCTGTCCTTCTTAGAGCTGTCCTGGAGAGGGCTAAGAAAGAAAACCAAATAAATAACTGATAAAATAAGGAGCAGACCAATCACAGCGAAGTGAGACCTTGGAAAACATTTTGAGATGAGTCTTAAATATTTGTTGTTCCAGAGATGACTTACAGATAAGGAAGACAAAAGCCTGAAAAGAAGGCCCATGGTTCGTGAAGAAAAATTGATGCTTTTCTGCAAAGAGTTGGCAATAAAAGAAAGTGTAACCTAAAAATAGCATCTGCTTCTGTATCCAGTTCTTGAAGGTATTGCCACCAACAGCTGCTGACTCATTAACGGTCACTGTCACCTTATCTCTTCCCAATCTCTGCTCCTTCTTCTCTCATCAGCTCTCATGAACACACACACACACATACACACACACACACACACACAGCTTAAAATATTAATTTCACACAGTTTGCAACATGAATCCAAAGGCTGAGTGTAAGAAGCCCATCCTCCCCTTAGAGGAGGAAAGAACTGTAAATTGGTACCTTGGGCTGATATTCTAGGAAAGACTGAGTTTTCTTAAGGGCAGGACATGGACTTATGATCCTTCTGCCTCAAAGTAGATGCTCACTAAATATTGAGGAATAAAGGATTCTTCCCCGAAATGCCTTCCTCGGAGAAGTAGAATTTTAAGAGACAATGAGTACCTGGCCATCAGGGTCTCAGGAGCGCTGCTGGACGCTGATGCTTACCACTCCTTGATGTAATCAGGCAAGCAGCTCTTGGCCTGTTAGAAGGGAAACATAGAATTTTTTAAAAATGCAATAAATAAGAAAATGCAGTCCCTACCTATAAATATCCTATGTTCAGATGCAGACCACAGATTCTTTTTTTGTTTTGTTTTGTTTTGTTTTGTTTTTGGCGGTACGCGGGCCTCTCACTGCTGTGGCCCCTCCCGTTGCGGAGCACAGGCTCCGGACGCGCAGGCTCAGTGGCCATGGCTCACGGGCCCAGCCGCTCTGCGGCATGTGGGATCCTCCCGGACCGGGGCACGAACCCATGTCCCCTGCATCAGCAGGCGGACTCTCAACCACTGCGCCACCAGGGAAGCCCCAGACCACAGATTCTAAGTAAATATATGCCAATTTCTCTATTGACTCATGTGCACATTGAGCAGTAGTCATTGGCCAAGGCTTAGGAGTGACTGGTTCGTACAGTTTCAAAGCAATAGGAGCCTGGAGCAGTCTAGGCCAGCATCCAACACAAAATGCTCTTGGGTTACCCACCCTTTTGCCCACCGCCCACTCTACGCACATAGATTGGTTTAACTGTGAATAAGAACACTGTCATGTGCATACTTTGCCTACATCTTCCTCCCAGCCTTGAATGTCCACCCTTTACTTCTCATCATAGACTAGAACAACTTATTTCAGGCTCCAGCTCTTCCATGAAATCTTCTCAATAAGAGAAACAAGGTGGATAGTCATAGCGCTTAGCCACTTCAAGGAACAGCCTTCTCTAGTCTTTATGTGCTCTTAACTAGACAGTCAAAGGATGCAACACTGATTTGGAAACTAATAAACTCCTTGAAGACAGGAATAGCAATACATATCAGTTACTCATTATGAATCTAAAAAATATTGGCTAATATTATAGAAACGCCATGCGCTCTCTGCGGGGTAGTATTATCACATGTATTTAACACAAGGAGGAAACTGAGGCTCAGAAAACTTGAGTGCTTTGGCTAGAGGCATTTGCTAGAAGCCAATCTAGGAATCTGGTCTGTAGAAGTCTATACTGTCATTTATGTCTTCCATTTCCCTCTGACATAAGTGGCATGATAGACTGAGAAGTGTCATGGGAAGGAAGAAGGGGTTTGTTGTTTGTTGCTAGGACATGTTTCTTAGGTAGAATCAAATTATTTGCCCTTGTATTTAGTTCAACAGAATAAGGAAAAGACAAGAATATAGTTCTCTCCTCTACAATTACGGACTAAGGAAGAATAGGTTTTATTATGTATGTTGGGGGAAGTGCATGCAGGTGGGTGAGCAGGTGGGCATTGGGAGGACGAGATGTAAATTAGTTTACTGATGTCGGTGATCGGCTGCCGTCTGCAAGGCCCCAGGTTCAGGGTCTGGACGTGACAAGATGAATGACACCAGTTCCTCGACTTCATCATCCAAGAGCTACTAATGGTCCAGTGAGGAAGGGAAAATGCAGGAACCAAGCCAACGTTGAATAAGAAGTGATGTAGTGAAGCTCACTGAGGACTCCCGGAATACAGAGGAAGGTGATTTAGTCCAGCCAAGGTGAGGGAGGTGTAGGGAATGAAGTAACAGGTATGATGGATCCAGTTGCTTCAAAGCAGTGGGAGGATAATTGGTCTTGCTTTCCCAAACACACCAGGAGTTCCCTGGGCTGAGTGTGACTCAGGACACATGGGAGTGAACTCAAACAAGAAAGGGGGGGCTTCCCTGGCGGCGCAGTGGTTGAGAGTCCGCCTGCCAATGCAGGGCACACGGGTTTGTGCCCTGGTCCGGGAAGATCCCACATGCCGTGGAGCGGCTCGGCCTGTGAGCCACGGCCGCTGAGCCTGCGCGTCCGTAGCCTGTGCTCCGCAACGGGAGAGGCCACAACAGTGAGAGGCCCGCGTACCGCAAAAAAAAAAAAGAAAAGAAAAGAAAAGAAAGGGGGATGCCTCAGAAACCCTCTCGCTCTCGGGCACGTGCAAGTTGTCAACTAGGGCTGCTACTGGGCAGATCCAGTGCAAAATAAACACGAAGAGCCTCGTTCAAAAATCAGGAAAAAAGTGTCATTAAAGGCATAAAATATAAAGCTTTTTCCCTTTCTTCTACAGACTCTCTCTCTCCACTGGTCATGTTGTTATTTGCTATTTAATGTCATTCTAGGTAAAGAGAACATAAAAAATTTAAATTATTAGCATGAATTTTACCATTCGTCTTTATATTGTGCAATGCCAGTTTTCAGTGCAAGTATAAGAGCATTTGACCAGTATGCACCAAATTACATAATGAATATTTCATCACTCACATATGCGTATGTAGCTTACTGTTTCTATTTTACTTTTTGACACGTACACATTCTAGCAACATAACTTGCTTACCTTGTACTCTCCTTCAGTCTCTCTGAATTCCATACATCATGGGCCACAAATTTGCTACCTTTTGAGGTGACAAGGGATGGAGGAAACCTCTGCTCACATATATTCTCCATTGTCTCATTGGATGCCACTTACAAAACACCCCTTCCAAGACAAAATTATTAAGATTTCAAGAAAGCGACAGCAGAGCCTGTAACCAAGCACAGGGTCCTTCTGAGCATGAGGCTGGGGTGAAGGTACAGCTTTGCCAACCCATGACCGTAGCTTTCCTGTCAACACAATTTCATCTTGGACAACAAAGCAAGGTCAAAAGATCAAATAGGAATTCTCTGCTCTTTGACTCTTAGGCTGAGAGATCAACCATCCTTTATCTTGCAAAAATCCAAACCAGGAATACACACTGATTATTCAAAAGGAAAGATAAATCATGGCCAACATTTATTAAGACGGACTTGAGCAGGAGACCAGCTAGGTGTGCACACACAGATTTGACCCTCCTGTCCATCCTCTAGGTTTTTCGCCCTGGATGGCTTGAATTTTCCTCCTTGGTAACAATAGGGTAAGGAAAGAGTGAAGGTCTCCTGTCTCTTTTTCCTGAGAACTCAGAGGACAAGATGAGGAGGACCCTGTGGTATGGAGAAGAAGGGAGATCTAGGAATATGCTACACTGCTTTCCTTTCCTCAAAATCCAACATCCTTGCATAAGCTGATCTTCCTAGGCTAGATTTCCAACCACAGGCTCTGTCCCAAGCAACTTTTGGTTCAGTTTCCTCCTGGCCAATCAGTCTCTTTAATTTCATGTTCCAGTATACTGTATACATTTTCCTGAGCTTTCAAACCCTCTGGTGCTCAAATCTCAATTGCATTATCCTTGAATATTCCACTTTTTTATAGATGTTGCCCATTCTCTTCTAATGAATTTTTTCTAGAACATTGATTTGTCCTGGTTTTATTCATCACCGGCTTTGTATTCTGCATTTTGAAGAGGCAGCAGAGTATGATCTTACTCATAATAATACAATTAGTTAATATTTATTCAATGCTTATTATGTGCTAGGCACATTTCTAAACATTTTACATATGTCAAATCATTGAGATACTCACAGGTCTGTGAGGTTGGTATTATAGCGAAAACTATTTGAAGGGCCTTCAGTCAGGGTAAACCCTGGTTCAGCTGTACATCAGCTGGGAGACCATGGGCAACTCACCCTCTCTGTGCCTCAGTCTCTCCATTGATAAAATAGTGGCTGCCTCATCATGTTGTTGTCCTAAATGAGATAAGACCAATCAAATGCTTAGAATGATGCTTGGCACGTAGTAGCGTTCAATAAATTTTAGCTATGATTATTATCTATTTTTACTCCTTTTCCTCCAGAAGGGGTTTTCTGTTGAGTGGCTGTGTGCTTCTGGGATAGCTGTGTGATGCTTCTGGGCCTCTTTTTCCTCAGCACCAAAGCTGTAAAAACACGGGCTTCTGGTGAAGATTGAAT